GCTGGCTATTTAGGCTAGATATTAATAGATTTGGCACAAGGTAACATATTCCTTCAAGGTGTACTCTATACCGTTATTCTAAACAGATAGAAAGAATGAATCTGCCCACTAATATATGCTAGGAAGGTAGACCATCCCAGAATTCAACACTGATGATTGATCAAACTGGTATCTTAAACTTTCGGAATTAAACCGGGGGGAAGCCGTATCCTACCCAACAAAATGTTCTTCAGTTTAATTATGTGCAGCTGTTTTGCTTATGATGATGGTTTTTGTTATTAAATCATCTCAGATTAAGAGTTGTTCATTCACCTGATTGCGATCAGATAAATTGGGTTAGATTATTCTGTGAAGGTGAAGAGAGACAAATTATGATGGATCTTGTTATAGATCAACTTGCGAAAAAGAATAAGACGAACAAGATGGTTCAAAGCCAACATTCCAGATCAAACCTATTGGATCATACTTCTATGGTACAGTATCTAATGTCAATTATCATTTTGTGTGTGTATGTTTATTTTTCAAGGTAGTGTGTACTGTAGATTGTATCTATTTTGCGTATGTCTTTTGTTTAGAGTTCTGTAAATCTCATCAGACGGATGAACTTTCCGTCTTCATGTAGATTTCTAGGTCACCCATATACATTAGATGGGTTTTACGCAAATAGATTTATTGAAATTAGCCCTCCACCTACTTCACGGAAATACATGTTCAGACATGTGTGTCCTTTGAAATCTGAAATTTTAACTGGCAATTGTACTTTCATCAAGAAATTACGCATACCATTACATGTAGTTTTCTCCTTCATCCAATTTGTGAGAACCACTCACAGTTCGTAGCTAACACAGGTTAGGGAAAACCTTGGGTGTAGCAATTAAAAAATATTAATATACAAGTTCTGAAATTATTCGGAAATATTCCAGACTTGTTCCTGATTATGGCATTGTGTAGACTTGTGCTACAAGGCCATGTAGTGTTACTCACATTATATCATACTGGGCTCCTGTTATAACATATTAGATGCTAGCATATTAGATGTCTTGGCAATGGATTGATAATCACTTGTGATTCATGAACCGACACAGTGAATTAAGAGGAAACAAAAATAAATTCTTTATATTCAGACTTTAATCATTGCTCATGTTCTCTTTGGATAGTAATTTGCATTCATATTGCTAAGTCATGTTTAGTAAACATGAAACTTAGGGGATGCACGAGAGAGGTTGAAGCCCCCCCCCCCTCTTAATAGCATGGTGTGTTCGAGGCCTCGGAAGAAATTTATTGTTGTTTCCGATTGAAAAAGTGCAATTTTGTGACGGAAAATATTGGTGGTGGGCAGTGCTGTCTGTTAACTTTAATAGTATGGACATCCCAGGAAACTATCATACTCATTATGTTACTTGTAGTAAGAAGAATGTTTTCAATAATTGTAGTAATATTCAATAAAAACTGGATTTTGTAATTCCCTACGGCAAATTGTAATCCTGTTTGTGTGAAAGAATGTTTCTGGAATATTCTTGAACCATTCCTACATAATGTTTAGGGGGTGGTGGGGGATTACATGCCTTGATGGATTCATTCTTAAATGTTAGTTATTTTTATTGTATAGCTAGCTTAAATCATAAGCTGGTGAAATAATTTATTTTCATTGATTGTACATAGAGAATATAATATCTATTCTAACAGTATTAAGGATTATTTGATGTAATATGTATACCATGTAAATGAGATCTATTAATTAATAGATGACTGTTATGGAGTCTGATTTAATTGATTATTCTGACCTCTATGACCTACATGAATGTAAATGGTTCCAAGTCTTAGGCTTGTGTGTGATTGGAATAAATGTATAATTATAATGTATCCTACTAGAAAACATTGAAATTCTGTTTCCCTTGTGGGTGTGAGACTATCTATGAATGATGCAACAGTACTCTTTGTGCCTAAACAGAAATTGCGTCTCTATTCCCAATAAATAATTTTGCGTTCATGTTTATCAAAAATAGAAAAATAATACACAAATAAAATGCTTGAAAGATTGCTTATCAGATAGCCAAGTAATGATGTCATCATCAGTGTTGTGCAATTTTGAAGATTATCTTAGCCATGCGTATAATCAATAATTTGTTGACTAAATTTTACACATGCTCTAAAAAATAGATTTGGCTTTATTTCAAAAGTTGAGTTGAATATATTGTATTCACTTCTGATATTCATATAATCTCCCTCCCAAATCCATTTGCATAATTCTTGACAAAAAATATGTTTCAAAAGATGAATACTAAGTTCATTTAATCACAAATTAGGTACTTGGGAAGTTCTCACACACTTTCTTTTTATATGCAGAAAGTTTTTATCAATGACTTACTTATCAACAGTACTAAATAAACCAATATCATGCAGTATTTAATTCATTATCAACTAAAAACTTACTACAAACAAAAACAATCTCATATGATTTTCATAACACAAGAAGTTTGGAGAACTTAAATTCAGATTTTTGCAATTTACAGGTAAAACTGTATATTTTGTGATCATTTTAAGTTCAGATTTAATGGCAAACCATGAATACAACTTTTTCTCATTTCTGTGGATAAAGATAAGGCTCACCAGCTTAAATGTTAAAATACATGTAACTTTCCTGGTTGTGACTAAAAAACATTATTTGCTGTTTGAATGTGATTTTCAATTTGAAAACTTGTAATTTTAAAACTACATGAAGTGCATGTAGTAGGTACATGTATCAGCTGACTGATACTTGTTGATCCGTGCATGATTGATCACTCGTATGTCACCTATTTATATAGAATAAAAACAATCTGTTACATGCTGATGTATAGACACATGCCTTAGAACTTGTGCACTATTCTATAAAGTCTTTCTACGTAGAGGCAAAGTGTCAGGCAGAATTATTATTTAAATTGAAATAGAGATGTGTTTGTAATGGTTCTATCTCCACATTTCGGTTTTCAAATTGTATGTCTCAGACCAAAGGTGATTAATTTCCAGCAAAAGTTTTGTTGTTAACTAAAAACTAATCTTGTGTAGGGGTAGACATACATGTATCAGCAAACATGACTGCTGGCCTTGTGTGTGAATGTGGGTTTCTAATGTACAGAATCTATACAAATGATTTGTACACCATATGTGGCATACTGTTTATTAGTACGCCTATATGATTAATTAGCTATATCATTCATGTTATTGAAGAAATATTTCACTTGGCATGCATAGATAGTATTAAGAATTGGCACTCAATACTAGTAGTGGAGGATAAAAGTATGTGATTACACCATACTGGTTACTATGGAAACATGATTACCAGCATATATTGACACCACTAGTAGTCTGTGTTAGTCTGTATTAGACTAGACTAGTGTTTCCTATAATACAATACATGTTTTATTTTAAATTCTGGGAAAATACATGTATCATTTCAATTATATTGATCATTTGGGGGATTTTGAATTGTTTGAAAAAATTGTGAAAATTAAATTTCTAAAAATGATCTTCAATTCTGTTCAGTATTACAAAGATATGATAAATTCAAAATTCACAACCTTTTGGCATCCTTTGCAGATGATATAAAATAGCCAACACCAACTGTAACTTACTATGAATGGTTGGTAAACATTTGATGGGCCTCGTTTTAATCCGATTAAATCCAAGCCGATAGATTATCAACCATTGATATTTGATTTGGTTTTCTTAATGTTAAACTGTTTAATTGAAAGATCAGGAGGGCCACTTTTATGATGAAATGAACATACTTTGTAAATCAGAAATTGTTTGATAAATTCTTAACTGCCGTCTGCTACAGAAATGCTTTATTGTTAGAGTTTTGTGGTCACTTACGTTTAACTTTTCTTGAGAATTTTCTTAATTATTTCAAGTCTAATAAATACAATGGCAAGAAATGAATTACGCAATGTACATGTATTAGCATTGAATTATTTCTGTAATATTTAGGTAAATAATTCTACAATTTACCCCATGTACCGTATTTTAACTTTAACCAAATCTTTCTGTTCATGGACTATTACGAAACTATAACAGTGAGCACACTTGAGTAAGCTTACATGTACATGTATTTGACTAAATTCTGAAATTCATAACTTGAATGAAAATAAATATTGTTTATCAAGACACATGGCCTATTACAAATCTCTTATTTTGCTCCCTATCTTCATTAGCCCAGTTCAGAGCAGAACAGTAGTATGTTTCATTTCATTTCTTATTTTGCTCATATTATCTGCAAGGCTGGTAGTGGTGAATTTACATGCAAATCAATGTGTACATGTAAATGTATGTATGCCAGTAATTGTGTTCAAAGCAGTTTTAGACTATGATCACAATGAAAGAATGATTGTTCTTTTTAACGTTTTATCATACATCTGGCTGGACAGAGTATTGTCAGTATATCAGTTGACTGGAACTGTTATTAAACATACATTATGTAAGAGCTAAATCGGTCTATTGCAGGTCTTTCTGAAATGTTATATAAACTATAGATTAGACATTAATTTTATTTATCCAAACCATAATCAACTCTCGATGTCATCTTATGTGTCCGATTTTCACTGGATTTGAATCCAATCTGCTGCTTAACGTTCATTGATGATTAATCCAAAAATGGATAACCAACTCTCGATGTCATCTTATGTGTCCGATTTTCACTGGATTTGAATCCGATCTGCTGCTTAACGTTCATTGATGATTAATCCAAGAATGGATAATCGAGACTGTTTTTTATCGTAACGACTTTAGTAATGATGATCGAGGCTAGGCTTAAAACTCAAAAGCTAATATCTTGGTTCAGAGTGGAGCAATTTGACTGAAATTTTCAAAATATTCTATTTACGTTATCTATATTAACTATTATAGCGAGAACAGTCAACTCTTTATCTAATCTCCCATAATGCCTCTTTAAGCAAACATTTGCTCTTGTCCAACTTTTAATTGCAAAATTATTTATATTCTATTATATTTTCTGTTTTCAGGGCTCAGCTGACTCGAATTACAGCCAACCATCATCTGACTTGTCCATAGACGGAGATAGAGAAGCCTTACGATGCGAAACAGAGCGCCAAGCAGTCTCCCAACTTGAAAAAGCCAAAGTAAGTTCAACAGCTAGGTTTAAAACGAGGTGTTTTTAATAAAGAAGGGATATTATAAAGGTCACCGGAAAAGCTTTATAAATTTTTTAAATAATGCATTATGTCAACAACTCAACATACATGTATCCTTTCCATAAGTATAACATGATCCTGAATATCAGTGTTACCTGCTACAGGTAAATTTCAACAGGTAGATTTCTCCCGTTACATGTGGCAGAAAGGATACGTTGACATAATTACTTGTATTGTTTAAAAATATTATGAAGCTTTAAATTTAGATTTCTTAAGAAAGAAGCAATGAATTGTATGCCCTCCGAATCCAAATATTTGTTTTCTACACTGTTTTAAAATGTGGCGTTGTCACCCATGCAGATGATTTTAAATTTTGTAGCTTTCGGTTTAGGGTGTGCCAACATGACTTTATTGCTCCAAAAATATAGCGATCATAAACAGTAAAAAGTATAACAGACTGTACATATGTATATCACATTAAAACAAGACATTAACTTACAACATCTGTTTGTAGCTAAATCTTGTACAATTTCAACAAATAATTATTAAAACATTCATGTGTGATATACTGTTTATTATGCAGGCCTTGAAATAACTAATCTAGTTGTATGTGATGAAATGACAGTCACTACTCAACAAGTACTAGACATTTGTACTTTATTCCAGACAAAACACAGAAAAAAGACAAATATGTGTCGGACATTGTCATTGACAGATAGCTTATTTCCATGCTTGAGACGAAGAAGAAAAAACATACCTGTGTTTATGATAATTACATGTACTTGGTCCACCAAAATAGAGTATGAGTCGGACGAGTTATCTTATTTTAACACAGGTCATTTTATTTTCTGGTCTAAGGTTCTTGTACTGGACTCTAAAGACACACAATATCCAACTATTAATGAAAAATTATGATATCATCTGTTCCATAGACTTTCTATGTAATGACAATTGAAAAAATCATTTGATATTTTGGGCCATTTAGGTATCAAACTGACATTGGACACCAATTTTGGACAATAACATTTTTTTGACATTGCTGACCTTGGCATTGTTCACCTGTAGATTTATTTTTTGTGACCATTTTAATTGTTCGGTTTTCAGACAAAACCAGTTGCGTTTGCTGTACGAACCAATGTGCCATACGATGGATCATTAGATGATGATTCTCCTGTCCATGGTCATGCGGTTTCATTCGGTGTTAGAGATTATTTACATATTAAAGAGGTAAGTAAATATATCAGAAAAACAAACACCCAGGGTATATGTACAGAAAATGAAGGAATGAGTACCAAGTTCATAGTACTAGTAGATTTACAATAAGTTCATGCCAAACGGAATAACTTGTTACTTTGTTACTATTTGCTAACTTTGTAACTATTTGCTAAGTATGCATATTGATTTAGGAATTCTGACAGATTAAGCTTTGTTATTTAAAACACTTTCAAATAATATCCTTTGTTCATCTCTGGATAGTACCTATCCCATTTTTGTTTCTTGTCTCTATGATAACAAGTAAAAGTAGTGTCCCACATAATGACAGTTCGCTAATGGTCAATATGGTTACCAGCTCACTGTGCCTAATGTTAGTCTAGACTATTCGTGGAGAGTTTGTGTATTATCACAAAGGCCTAGATCTTTACTCCTCCTAGCAGAAAGCATCAAAGTTCATGAATATCCAACGATTGCCCATGCTTCACTATGACTTCTTCAACGATTCTAGTTCCTTTAGGAACGGTCTCTGAGCTGCAATATGAAAATACCGCTCTACTCCCACCTCTGTTCTAATTCTAATTTAGAATCCTTACCTTCTATTTTGTTTACTGTGATTCTTCTTTTTTCACCAAAGGGAATCATTTCTCACCAATTTTGGGATTCAAAAACATAAACAAAAAATGTCCGCCATTATGAAACTCGCGTTTGCGGAGACCAGAGGTTGAGGGTTTGTGGCTTAATTGCAAAATTCTACTTAAAAATAGTGTTGATTTATAATAAATTTATGTCAGCTTTAGAACAGAGGTTGGAGTATAGCAGTATTTTCATATTGCAGCTCTATAGGGATGAACAGGAACTGTCAGGGGACAGTGTTCGATCAGAGACTGTTAATAAAGGAACTACAATGATTCAAACTCTTAGACTAACCAATGACAGACCTGCTTTTAACTGCCATCACCTTTACTCTAAAGTGACATTTCTATTTCTACATATATCGAGTTTAGAATCCCTTGGGAAAGAAGTATGCTGGTTTGGTCTTAAACTCGGAATTATGATTTCTCCCAGCATTAGATCTCAGACGGTCTTTGAATTTAATTGGTTATTCTACGTGAAGAGAATTCCAGTCAGTTCTATCTGTGTACTGTGGACATTATTTAGACGCAGTAGACTAATTATTCAGTTGCATAATACTGTGTAGCTGGTTCCTGCCAACATTAATCCCACAAGAATGTCTTGAATCCCAAGTATTAGCATCTCAAGCACAACATGTTACCCAAGACACATATATAATATGATATAATAGAACTATATTGAATATAGAAATAAATAAATATCACTTTAATTAATTACAAATATGTGATAGCTAATTCTTAACAGCGCATTTAGATTTAAGACATAGATTTAATTTCAGAATTTTTACCAGCCAAACATTTTTATGCATATTTGTATTCCGAGATATAGTCAAGTTTTTATTTTATAAATAAGACTAAAAATTGAATTGTTGATTCTGCTTTTAAAGACACATAATATTGTTCATGTCTTTGTTAATGTCGTTGAGTGAAATCTGGTTAGATAATATTCCGTTGCTAATTAAATTTAAAATCTATATCAAGTAGGTTAGTTCTGAAGTTGCTGAGAAAATAGTTTTTATGCAAGTTTACATAAAGTTCCCCATCACTGTGCTACACATTTTGACTTGACCTCATGGGTTAATCAACACCCCAAAATTGTACGACACTGCCTTTGAAGTTGCTAGGTCACTGCGAACACCAGCTGAAATTTAAAAGAGTTAAAAAAATTTCAAATGTTACTTATTTTTCTGGTAGAGAGATTTTCAAATAATCTGTTTTGTTTTCAGAAATTCAACAATGACTGGTGGATAGGGAGGTCAGTAAAAGAAGGTTGTGATGTTGGCTTCATACCAAGTCCTGCCAAATTAGAGGCCCAGAAATTACAATCTGCGGGTGGCGGACGAACAGGCAAATTATATACAAAGTAAGTGAATCTGCTGCTTTAACCATTTAATTAAATTCCACTTTTGTTATGGACATGAAATCTGCAGTACTTAAGGTGTGAGTAAACATTAATTAAACATTCTCAGAAATGAATCTGGTAAAAAATTAGGAAATGTTTTTTTAGTTGATCAAATCCAGTTAATAAAAGTATCTTCTGTCCAATAAAATCAGCTTCAAGAGCATTTTGAAAAAAAAATATAGTTGAGTGTTTATTTTGGAGAGGTATTAAAAAAAATCTTGATATTTCTTTATTGCAGTAAAACCAACTCTTCCTCGAACATAGACAACCTTCTAGCTAATTCAAAGTCTTCTAATTCACGCGGCTCAACACCACCCACACCAGGTATAGTAATCTAATTACAATTTATATCAACACCATATACACCAGGTATAGTAATCTAATTACAATTTATATCAACACCATATACACCAGGTATAGTAATCTAATTACAATTTATTTCAATACCATATACACCATGTATAGTAATCTAATTACAATTTATTATATTAACACCATATACAACAGGTGTAGTAATCTAATTACAATTAATATCAACACCACATACACCAGGTGTTGTAATCTAATTACAATTAATATCAACACCATATACACCAGGTACAGTAATATAATTACAATTTATATCAACACCATATACACCAGGTACAGTAATATAATTACAATTTATATCAACACCATATACACCAGGTACAGTAATATAATTACAATTTATATCTACACCGTCAACATAGACGGTGTGCTATTTCTAGGTTATCCATCCAATTGATTGTAATCCTTACATTCTCGACATATATAAAGTATTTCCATTTGGCTGACTTGGAGATTTGTTGCTATAAAGATTTTGTTACGTATACCATGTGTGAACAAATGATATGAATAAAGCTGAAATAAAATCCCCTAGTTCTTTGCATCTAGAGTTCCATCTTGCTATTGAAAGATAAATTGAACTTAACCCTAGAATACACAAGCCTAGATTTTTGTTTTAACTAGCATGGATATCGTGTCCTGGCCAATAAAAGACTACAGTAAAAGTAACAACAGTACATGTTGCCCATTAATTATATGTATTAAATTAGACCTAATAAAGCTCATTTCTTGATATAAGAGTTTAATTGATGACAAGGGTTGCTGTGGCAACTTTGACCCTATGTGTATAGAAATTGCCCAAGTTCATTATGGTTAGTATATTTATATATTGAGATTGATGTAATGTTTTCCAGGTATCGAGGGTGATCAAAATGGTATGGATAGTAATGTTGGGGAGGATAGTGATAGTTTGGGTAATAAAGCAAGTATTACACCTCCAGCTAAAGAAAAACGTAAACCTTTCTTTAAAAAGGTAAATTTTATTAATAATCATCTAGTAAATCTTATTCTGAGTGTTGAGATCAGTTATTAGTAAAAACTTGTATCGCTAGCTTATCTTTGTTTTGTTGAGATTGAGAATTACCTCTACAGTACTGGAGGCCAATAATCAGGCTCTGAAATAAACATTATATATTAAAGGGCATTTAGGTATAACTAAAATAATAACAACTTTATGGATAACCTTCACTGTGTGTATTAACTACAATGTTTCAACGAGGTTACTCTCCCTGTTATCAAGCAATGATGATAACAGTAAGAGTACTCTCATTGGAACGTTGCCGTTTATTAGCATAGTGAATGTTATTCATAAATTTGTCTGTTATTATTTTAGCTGTACCTAACAAAATGTATGGCACTATTGAAATTGTATCGGACCATTTATTAACTAAATCATCATAAGAACACATGTAAGGGCAATTCTGTGCCTGAAAAAATGACAAGCACCAAATCATTTGTTCCTGACAAAACTCGAGTTTGTGCCTGAATAGTTACCAATGTTAAATGATTATTTATATTATGATAGAAAAATTACCAAAAAGTATCGTATAAATTTATAAATATTCAACATGAAATGGGCAAAAAAAATCACTCCTGCCAAGTATCTAGGAACACTAGCCAATAGGATTTTTAAATAAAACCTGAAAAATAAAAGAATTAAACTCATTTAAGAATGATAGAGATGAACTTATTTATATATTATGTATTTTATTTTTCAGTCTGAAAGTATTCCTCCCTATGAAGTTGTGCCTTCAATGCGACCAGTTGTTTTGATTGGCCCCTCTTTAAAAGGTTATGAAGTAACAGATATGATGCAAAAGGCATTGTTTGACTATATTAAACATAGGTTTGAAGGGAGGTATGTACATCTATGTTAGTTGTTGTGAATGTTTTATAGTATTGATCGCTTTAGTTCAGATGGTCTTCATTTTTATTACAACATATATTGGGTTGATCCAAAATGGCATCCATTATGGTAACTGACTGACTATTCGCGTATACAGTTCATGACACTTTCACACTAAAATTGACATATTTAGCCACTAGTAGCACACCCGTAGAGTTTCTAACCACTTTCTATCTACACTTAAAACATCAGTTTAGGGTAATGATGACTTGTAGTGTATGCTTTAATGGCAAATATTTTCATAGAAAAAAGCCTTGTTTCATATGTGAATGGTACGGTCATACGACAAGGACATCTTTGTATGACACTGTAAAGCCATAGTGCTAGTTTGTCCAGACCATTTGTTGCCTAAGTGATAGAAGGCTGTCTTGTCATCTATACAAGCTATTATTCTGATCTGAAAATTGTATGTGCCAAGTAATAGTGTTTCTGCATTTTTCAAACTGGTAAAAAAGGCCCTGCATGCATGCACATTAATGGAATAAAAATTGCACTGTTAGTCCCAAAACTAGCTAGATTTGTTACATGGATGTTAAACCCTATGTCTCTTTCTCCTGCTTAATTGTATTATTGAAGGGTTGGGGTTGGAATCTGATGCCAAGAATAACATGTGAGGAATTTCTGGCTGAGATTCTTCTTGTTAGTGGTAACAGCTGACAGGGGTGTGTTTCTAGTTCTAGGGGAGTAAAAAACCCAGGTTCTGTACACAAGATGTACAAGATTCCTTGACATTTACATATTTAACTGTTTAGGTACAAGATGTAAAAACTACAATTGATGTAAAATTGCCAAACTCCTAATGTCACAATATATTTTAAAAAGCATGTAGCTTCCAAATATGCAATATCTGAAGTTGTGTTTGCTTATAGCCAATTCAAATGAAAATTGTTTCTCTAAATATTTATTTCAATATTTGAAACAAAACTCGAAAGAACAATGGTATCATTACGTAGCTAATGATTACACACAAAGTAAAATGTATAAAAGTAGCTCATCTTAGCATCAGAATTTTTTGTAAGATGTAAATTTTTGCCGCATAAACAAAATCGTAACAAACACATGCCAGGGTATTAGTGATTTATTTCATCAATAGACAGGTTTCATGAAGAAATAATTAAGCTTTGTGGTCTAAGGGGAGACAATCAGTTATTACCTCCCTTTGAATATAAAGTTATTGTTTTGTTGCACTAAATTTTTGCGGCTTGTGGTCTAAGGGGAGACAACCTCCCTTTTATCAATACAAAATTATCAAACTCTCCAGTAGTGTTATTCTTTTCTTTTCAGAATTATCATTACTAGAGTGACTGCTGATATATCCCTAGCTAAGCGCTCAGTGTTGAACAATCCAAGTAAACGTGCAATTTTGGAAAGACCAAATAGTCGATCTTCAGGACTTGGTAAGTTTCAAATTTAATTTCATAATTATTCCACTGGGTACTTTTTTTTTTTTCAAACAAAATAACGTCAAAACATTGTGTACTTTATATTTTACTATTGAATGGATGAAAAACCAATTTAGAAATTGAAATAGTAGAAGGCTACAGTGCCACTGTACGGAAAAATTTTCCTCATAGCACATTTCATGGTATATGCCCGTCTGATTTAGCCTGGTTGGTACAGACTAGACATTAAACCTCATTTCATTTTGTTAATGATTGTATTTTTTAGTGGAAGTTCAGGCAGAAATTGAGAGAATATTTGAGTTGGCTAGAACATTGCAACTGGTTGTTTTAGATTGTGACACTATTAATCACCCTTCCCAGCTAGCTAAGACATCCTTGGCTCCTATTGTAGTATATGTCAAAATTGCTTCACCTAAGGTAAGTAGATCCTTTCTTTAAAATAAATCATATCTTGATCATAAATCTCAATCCCTGATTTTATAGCAAGAGTTATTACTGGTCCTAAATATTGTAAAACTCTTTTACTCCTTGATTTCATTTCCTGAATGCAAAAAATAACAGCAACATAAGGAGTGCTCCTTATCTGTTGATCTAATGGCTAACAGTTGTGAGAACATTGAGAGAAGTAAATGTCAGAAAAAACAAATTGGCAGAGGATAATCCTGGAAAAATTAACTGTAAATGGACAACGACTAACGACAAATACAAGCTGTTAGATTAATTAATTTGAATATGTTTTGGCCAAATATATCATCAAAGCACACTGTTTGTATGCAGGAAGGCATCTTTAATGTGATTAGTTGTTGATATAATGAATTTTTGTTTTGTTCCTACAGGTTTTACAGAGGTTAATTAAGTCACGAGGAAAATCACAGAGTCGTAATATGAACGTACAGTTAGTAGCTGCCGATAAATTAGCTCAGTGTAGTCCGGTAAACAAATTATTTTATATGTGTTCTTTTTAAAAACATTGTTATTTGGTATGTGATCAAGATTCTCCTTAAAACAATCCAAAATAGTGATCTATTTCATGTCAACTTTTTGAATGATTGATTTTGTTGGCACGGTCATAAGTGTTTAAAATTTAATTAAAACTAGACAGTAACTAATCTCCTGGATCAACACTTATTGATGATGCAGACATGTTTTATTGCCTGCAGCAAATGCAGAGTGTTTGAAGTTTTTAAATCATCATATGTTTGTATCTATTCTAAACTAATTTGAATAGAGTAGTGTATTCTTGTAACAATCATTAAAGAAATTGATATTTATGTTTTTTTCTACAGGAAATGTTTGATGTAATCTTAGATGAGAATCAATTACAAGATGCTTGTGAACACTTGGCTGAGTTTTTAGAGGCATACTGGCGAGCTGCACATCCACCTAATATGAATCCTCAGTCCCCTCGACCTCACGCCCGCTCGTTGCCTTCTCCTACTACACCCCTCTCACGCCATAATACAGTCCCAGCTCATGTCTCACATTCTCACACCCATAACATGGATCGTGGTAACCCTGGCAGCCCAGAGCAACATGGCCGTGGTGGCCATGACAGTTTTGATCATGTGACAGACAGGGGACATAACCGCGATGTACATTTAAATGAATATGATAGAGAGAACTATAACAGATCGCGTGATTACGAACGATCGAGGGATTATAATTCCCAGGACTATAGCGATTCAAGACGACGTGCTCACGATCACGACAAACACCATTCTTCGCCACGGAGCAACAAATACCCACCAGTCAGACAGGGCAGTATAGATATTTAGCACTGACTTATTTAGTGCTTTAATTATTATTATTATTATTATTATTGTGTTATAACTTCCAGCTTACTATTAATTCCTACATGCGCTGTGAATGGTTTCCCTCGGTTTTTTCCCCCTTTTCAGCCTTCCCTTTTATTATACAAACGAACGCTGTTAAAACACAAACACAACACATTCAATTTTTCTAAGACAGTTTGTGCAACCACCATTCTACGATGTTTTCACATAACTGGAAAGAAAATGTCCATTTTTTTTTCTAATTAGTTTATGAAAAAACCCTGTAAAATAGACGCCAGGACGTGTTTCTGTACATATATATCTATGTGTGATCTACTAGCGTATGTACAAATATTGTGTGATATATAAAAGGTTTAATATCGATATAAAGTGATAACATGAAAAAATACATAAACATACAAGACCAGAATTATGTGTGTGTTTGTTTAACATAGAAAGAATCTATGGAAGAGTGGTAGTGGCATTATTAAAAGTGTTTTTAAAACTAAACTTAATAAAAAGGGGGAAATAAGCTGTATAGTGGACTCAAAATCCAAAATGTGATGTGCAAGGATTATTGCTGTTAAAATGGATTATCACGTTATTAGACTTATTTGTGTATAGAGCCTCATCTGGGATTATTAGACAGTACAGGTGATCAATTAATTAAAAGACAATTACTAATTGATTAGACACAATCCAGTTAATGAATTTGAGCAATTAAACAACTGTATGAAGTTGGCTCAAATTGTGGTTTTTTTTTGTCATATTTGCTCAAATGTTGCTCTTGAGCTTATTTATTTGTTTATTATTTTTTTTTGTCAGTAATCCAATTTTCACTGCTAAAATTCATCATTTAACAATTTTCTAATCCATATTATATTTGTATAGAGGTGTAAATGTGAGAGAAATAAACTAGAGTATCTTAAATCCATAATTCACCCACAAAATGGTGTATTAAAATGTCAAAAACCTGAAGCTATATCTAGTCTTTATAACACCTTAGACTACAAGCATGACATATATATGTGTTTTTCATAAAAACATTACATGTAATATTGTTCTCTGATTTTCTTCAATATACAGTTGGAAGTTTCCATTAAAATGGGATGTGAGCTTTTTTTTTGTTATCAGATAGAAATCTTTTCAATTTTAGTTATGAAAAATATAACAATGAATGCTTTTAGTACAATGCTTGCATAATGTCTGAATGTATCAACTTTTAAATGTCAAGCTCAAATGATAATAAGTCCAATGAAGAAAGTCAAGCAATTGATACTTGTTTCTCCTGGACAAAAAGTTTCATTCTTGCTGATTGGGTATATAAATGTAATTAAAAGATTCTATAAGGGCCAAGTTCCTTTATAACTTAGCAGCTTACATCCCAATTTACTGTTAACCATTTCTACATATAGATTAAAATAAAAAATTTGAAATTATTAAGGAAATATTGAACTGTTTGTTCATCTACATGATACCTAGCTTATTTATCTAAAGTATTGGTTCTTTTTTAATAGGCATGTTAATCAACACTATTCCCATTTAATTCAGAGGGATTATTAACATTGGCATTTACTTGTACATTTGTTATGTAAAGCAGGCGCCTAACTGAGAAACCTTTTCACCAAGAACAATTATTACTTTTTAAAGCACACACCTTAACCTATGTTTGAAGCTTTGAATGTGTCTGGATGGTTGTGTAGATATATCTAAATGTGGGCTGTTGAAAGACTTGATAATTTAGAATTGCTTTCGGAATATTTTTCATCGTAGGTCATTTTGTTTTATGAAATGCCTGTGCTTGTGCTTTCGAGTAAACATGTGACAATCGACACAGCCTAGTTGTATTTTATGATTTCAAATTTTAAAGGAGAATGTTGTTTTACTGTACTGTTAAACTGTTTGTAAAAAATCATCTTTTCTCCCATCAAAAACTATTTAAGATGGCAATCGTTGAAAGTCATTTCTGCTATCAACAGATTGTGTAAATTTGCTTTGTATAGAAAACCAAATGGATAGAATTTTTTTTTTTTTCAAGCTTATTTCATGAAAGTTAATGAAGTTGAGTAACTTAATATGGTTGATTGCTCCGAATTTGTAATTAATCCTATGATTAATTATAGGATTAGACTTCTTTTATTTGAATAAAAGAAAACAATGTTGGGTTAATTTGATGTTATTTCATCTAGTGATCGGTCCAGATCTGTACAATTCAATTTTCAGTTGAAAAAATAAGCAGAAGTTGGTTGGTTAAATAATTTTAATTTTGTTTATGTCTGAAATATTAAATAATTTAGCTGTCACATTGGCTCCTAAAACTGTAAATGTAGATTGATAACCACTTTGTAACATATAAATTTAATTCAATCAACACTGTATCTTTTATAATTAAAGAGACAATATCCTTTTTAAAAGTAATTCTATATATTTAGTCCTGTTAATGTAATCATGTACAATGTACATTTATTAATAGTTACTCAGGTTTATCTCTTTATGTCCATGCCTCCATTTGGCATTAACTAGGAATGAATACTACACATACATAGCAGAATAATTTACTTAAAGTCTGTCACCATGGTTACTGCCATAACATCTCCTAGATGTGACTTCTGTACATGCTATCATCTTTGCATGCTATAAGTTTTAAACATGCGTTTTTCAGATCTATAAGTATGGCAATGCAGATAATTTGAGAAAATAATCAGTAATGGATATATTTCATCCTAAATCTAGAGATCTGTCTGCAGAAATGACAAATAAAGAGACAAACTTGATTTATCATAGGACTTTATATAGTAGAAGTATTGAAAATAGATCTATGACTGAACACTACATGTATATCATTGGATATATTATAAACGAATCTCGTATTTTATCAGAATTCATTGCATTTATTAAATGTTTTGAATACATGTAGAATTTGTATTTGTCAGCATTTCTGTTTTTTTGTTTTACTTTTTACATTATTTATTGTTCACGGTATCTTCTACCATGATTCAACGCTTGTATATAAAGATAAAACTTGATTATTTTCATGATTTTTCAAGCGTGATAATTCGGTAACAGTGGAACATTGAGTGATTGACGCATGTATTTTTACAATGGTCAGAAATCAGAGAAAAAAAACCAAACCAAACAAACAATATTTTAAGTCCTATTGGATCACTAGATTGTATAGTTTGATTTGTCAAATTTTGTACTTAAAATTTTGATGATAAACTATGAAAATTTGAGCTACCTTAAAGAGGCAACACAGCATAAGGCAAATAAGCAGTTCCTTGTTTAAATTTCAACAGAAATAAGGGGTGAATTTTAATATTAATTTAGGCTATTAAGAAAAACAAAAATGTGTGTTCGATACCATCTTGATGTTTGTGGATAGAATATCTAGAATAGGACTTTAAAACTCCTATTTAAAATTGATAAAACACTGTTCTGTTGAATGGACATTAAACTCCATGATTAAAAGTTGATATCTTACTACTTAAGGTCTATTTAATTGATTTAACTAAATAAATGTGACTTCAAGCATTGACAAAGCTATCTTCAGTTTGATCCTTGTATGTGTCATCGTGAATCTTTATTTAAGACTTTTTTTTTTTTTATAAAAGTGAAACTTATCGTTCAACATGAAATTCCTCAAACTGGCCAATGTGTGAAGTGTTTGCATAATATTTATTTCTCTACATCCTTAGAATGCCCATGGAATGATGAGGTTTATCATCTTCACCATTTTAGTGCAAAGTTTCAGTATACCAGTATTGATTGAATAATCCTTATATGTGATGAACCATTCCAAATCATGGTTGCAGGCAGTGCTTATATAATTTATCTTTTTGTTTGTTTTTGGTTATAAAACTGCCTGATATTATATACATGTATTTCTTTTACTGCATGATTGTTTGAATTTTTTTTTTTTTTTTTTTTTTTTTTTGAATTTGATAAATCAAAATGAATATTTTTTATTAATGGGTGAGATTTATTTGTTAATATTGTATCTTTTTAGAGACAGGTGATCTATTCTTTAATTGAATCAATGTGTTCACTTGTTAGCATATCATCAATATGCTCTCTTCAATGCGTTCGAAACTACAAAAAAATTGTTCTTGAAAACGAATGAATATTTTTCTGCACTGATTTTGTTTTTTGATACATAGCTCTTAAAAAAAATAATAGCAGTGCATTTAATATTGATTAAGCAATCGTATTTTGTCAATTTTATGTATGATTTATAGACACAAATGTCTTAATGTTCTCTTTTTGTAGTTAATTTAATTAGGGATTTAACAATGCAAAAATTGGGTTGGCATCTTCTCTCATATATAGACATATAAATCATATGCTGGGATAAAACAATTCCGAAAATGAGGATCTGTTTTATTCTGGTGCCAGTGGAAGGACTTACGTAAAATACTCAATATTAGGCCAGCCCTTCATTATCACTGGTTTTAGAGTTGCTAGTCTTAATACTATATTCAAAAAGAAAATAGTGATTTTGGAATACCGACATACATGTATGTTTATGGATTGAAGTTGGCTAGATAAATATGTAAACTGTCTTTCATAAGCGACAACATTGATGCCACAAGGCATTTGATTGGTCACGGTTTTAAGTTTTAGCCAATTATAACCTTACAACCATGGTAAAGTTGTTCCTGAATTGATATTTCTTGGTTGTATACATAAAGTGGAAATGTGATAAAATATAATTGATGATATTGCTATTATTTCTGTGTTCATGTAAATCTAGTCCATTTTACTCTAGTCAGTACCTTAAGTAATACAGGTTCTGGATCCATTTATTTTATTTTCTTGATCAAATGTTCATTGATTCAGAATCTGTTTTATGTGGATTGTCGCGATAGGAAATAATTTTGTTTAAAAAAGTTATTCAATAATAAATAATTTAATGAATGGATTTCATGGATAATTAAAATTTCTTTTCTTGATATTTGATTTCTTTAGTCATCATGGAATTACTAAAATTATACAGCAGATAGTACCGGTACCTTTCCTGGGTCTTAGAAAATGTCTATTGTTGTAATTAATTTTAAAGTTTACAAAGTTGATTTCAAACCCTTTCCACGGGTAAGTGAATACTGTTTTTCAGTAGAAACCAGAAAATTGACCTAGCGGTAATTGATTATTAATCCTAGGTAAGTAACAAAATGGAGAAACTGAATTTGGTTCTTTAAGATGATCCTTTAATTTTTATTTTACCTTCTTTTTTTCTTTTTTTATATAGTTGAAGACTTTGTCATGTGATCTCATTAAGAACCGTGCAATTAATGAATATATAAACCTCTTGTATTTAAACTGTTATTTAAGTTATTTCATATATTATTATTATTATTTGTCTGTTATATTCTAACTTATAATATAAGTTATTATGAATACATATATTATCTTAGTTAATTAATAATGAATTCCTTTCATTTTTGTCTCATGTTTTTTTTCTTTTCTTAAGATATTTTTCATAATTTTTGTCATACTATATTTATTTGTTACTGGACTGGCTCCAGTATTATCATCTTTGTAGGCATTTTTCTGCTTCATCCTTGTAATTTTTACATTTATCATCAGTTTGAAACTGGCGAGATAATGAGCCAAGAAGTGCAATATGTAGAATTTTTCAGATTTTTCTTTCAAATTTGTCTTGATTTTTGATCAATTGAGGCATTTATGTGATGATCACACTGAATGGATTTAGATCGCGCTGTATATACTCTTGAGAAATTTTTTTTTTTTCTCACAGTATTTTGGCAGAAATATCTATCCATATCCCCCGGTATATTTAAATCACTCTAGATCAGTTAAATAATTTGACAGATAAAATACTATCAAAATTCAATATTTTGGCAGAAATATCTGTCCATATATATATTTAAATCTTTCGAGATCAGTCAATTAATTTGACATGATAAAATACTATCAGAATTCATGTATGGAATATTCGAAAGGGTGGATTTTTTGTTTGATCTTCGAGATACATGCTCCAATACTGATAGTGAATATGAAGAAAATTTCCATCGTGTTTTAATATGCTTTTAACATGCTGTACTTTGTGGTCACCAGCTAGCAGTCTCAGTTTACTAGTCATGTTTAATGTTCCATGTTAATTCTTTCAATCAAAGGTTGTCAATTGAATTTTTGCCCAGGTTTTTTTCCCATTAAGGTTGGTTGAGCCTTCATGTATATTAAAGGGGCAGTCACAGATTTTACAAGACATTGTAGGTTGAAAAATGTAAACCAAACGCCGAAATGTGATATAGCCTATTTAACATATCTGTGAAAATTTCAAATCAAAATATTGAGCCATTTGAAATAATTGTAAATTTGAAAGGAATTACCAAGTGATTTGGTTATTTGTGATGATCACTTTACCAGTATATGCATAGACACACTTACCCACACTTGGGGAATTTTGACAAATTCTGCATGGAAACTGAAAGTTATTTCTGCTTAAAAAAAAATATCAAAGAGCTTGAGATTGCTGTACAACCCTATGATTTAGATTTGCAAGTGTCATAGTTATATTTACTAAAAATATACCTGGGACTGCTCCTAAAAGTGTACCATATTTGAATTTGAACCTTTAGATGTTGTGCACAACTTCTAATCAAATTATGCTATATAAAAATGGTCTCTATAAAGAGACATTTTGAAGACAAAAAATCAGTTCTAATCAATTAAATACAAATTGCTTTTTTTTTAGTTTTGGTTGCACCTTTATTAGTTTTTTTTTGCTTCAATTAACTTAAGAAATTATTGAATCATTATCCATGTGAAAGATGATTTAAAGTTGGATTGAAATTTGTTTTTTTTTATATATATATTCCGAAGCAACTTTTAATATTTTTTTGTCATCTTACAATATTGAGTGATTTGTTCACAAATTGAACAAAGGACTACATTATAACACTTGGCAATTTTTTTCCTCCAAACCTTATATGTGGTGATTTGCACTATAATTTCTGATTAAAAGATAACGAGCAATATATAGCCCTGCTTGTTTCTATATTACAGATGAACTAGAACTTTTATTACTGTCTTAATAATAGATCTACCAAATTAGTAGAAATTTATAATTGATTATAAATACGATGAGACGTCACTATAGTGTGGTTTGCTATAAGGCAGGTTTCAGTATAAGACAAGTGTCAGCAATGTTCTGAACAGCATTATAGTGAAGCTCTTATATATAAGGGTCTTGCTATAAGGTACAGTTAGTTCATTAACCTTATAAGTATTATAGTATGTCACTAGTGTAAAATTATAAGAAATATATTATAAATTAAGACAGTTATAAAATGAAAGTTCTAATGTTGATTTCTTGACACATTGTTCTTGTTAAACTCACCACCTGATTATCTTGTTGGAATTGTAAATAAAAATTTTTATCTCCTAATTTTAGTGTTCAGAAGTTATTATTAAAGGAGTTCACTACAATATATCACGTTTAATGGTCAGAGTGAGACATTAAAGGGGAAGACCAACGATTTTCAACAAGATTTCCATAAGTCTTAAATGTATATTGATAAATAATGCCCTCTGTAACACAAGCAAAAAAGTTTAAGTGAGAAATTAATTTTGATGAAAACCAGACGTGATGTAGTTGGTTCAACACGCTCACTGGTCTCTATAGCAAGCATAAGTTTGCTGCTGTATTTTTTTTCACTGTCATTTGGATGAGAATCCGACTGAAGGGACTGTTTATTTAGATATATTAAATATGGAATTATGGTTGTTTTTTTTTAACATTTAATACACAAATCCCACGCGTACATTCACTCATACTGAACAGTATGTTGTGGACGAATTCATGACACACGGCTAAGTGTTTACATAACGTGTTAATACACGACAAGGGAGAGATATTTGAATGATTTTGTGTGTGCTGAGTCTTCTGACAGTGCTTTTATTTATTTCAACAGATTTGTGGCACATATATATTCAAATAAATTTATTGGAATATAGGATATCTCTTCTATGGGTCTACAGTAATGCAGATTCGAGCCCAGGTATTCTAAAGAGGAAATGGAAGAAAAAACAGAAGTCGTTCACGTGGACATTATATGCCAAAATGCACTATATTATATGTCTCACATGCCCATAATTTTGGTCTGTTTATGTTGAAAAACACTGTCAACAAGCACAAATGACTATACATTGTCTGTTGCAAACCTAATATCTTAATGAGGAGTTGTGCAACTTTCCATTTAATAACAGATGAATATACATTGGGGGAGTTGACCACTAGCCGAATCAATTGACGCTGAATGAGTGGACACACCAGTTGAATCCTTCGCCCGATTCACCTCCTCTCACATCACATGATTAAACATGGTAGCGACCATGTCTTCAAACAATCACAAGAACCTCGATATCAGTGGTGATTTATCTAATGAATTCTACATTCGGTGGAAGTGGACACACTAGGGTAATATATCAAACATGTTTGATTCTCGCGAATCACTTGGCCGAATGACCCTGTACACACCAGGCGAATCTCGGCGCCGGTAGATTCTGCCAAATCGTTCGGCTAATGTGTCCACCGCTTAATCCATCAAACTTTTAAATCAACAACGCGTCTAAGAAAATAAGAATAATTTGTCTCTAATAACACCAATTCAAAAATAAACATATTAAAATACACAACCTTCTCAAATAATATATATTATTCCCCCTAGATAACATCACTAAACAGCTACAATTTGGATGCCAACAGGGGGGGGTGGGGGGGATGGCCGAATGGTTAGCATGTGCACGCCGTATCATAAGGTCTGTCAACTAGCATGTTTTCGAATCCCCAGTTGTACGTGACAAGGAGTAGGGTTGCCTGTCAAACCTTGTGGGTTTTCTCCGGGTCCTCCGGTTTCCTCCCACTGCTAAAGACACCTATTATTGAAATTGAACCATGTTAGTCCCAAAAAGACCTAGTTTGTGTCTAGTGGATGTTAAACCCCATTTCTCCCATTCTCTCCGGATGACATCTAATTGAACAACTTGAGTTTTCAAACACTGCATTTGAGAAATGTTGGGTTTCAAGGAATACAAAAGGTGCTGATTGCTATATACAAGATAATTTTTATATATAGCCTCTATAGTAACAGTAAATCCACCCAAATATGTTCTCTGGGTGGCATGAAATCTGGTAATTTCAAAGAACACAAACTTAGTGCCTTCAAATATTATATTAATTGAAGAAATTTTTGCATCACAGTAGTTTCTATACATTTTTTTCAAAATTCAACATTTGTTTTAAAGTAATTTCTACAGTCCAAAATTTATCTGTCCTCAAGAAGAGCACATATTTTATATTTCATCTGTCTGGAGAATGGAGTGAAAAGACTCTAGCTGTACAATCTTCTCCACATGATATCATCACATTACCATCCCTGTAATTATAAAACATAAAATACTGAAATATTACCTATAAATAGTCTAGCTACACAGGGGCTTAGTTTTTCTCACCATCCTGAGCGACTTTTTGTTATCGTGATTTCTTGACTATGATCGAACTAACTGAATCTGAATACTGAACCATGCTATTGTGGCATGGTCGGAGTAGTTCAAAGATGGCCGGTGTAGATGAAACATTAGAGTAGAGTATTTAGAAAGAATATATGATTTTAGGAAAGTTTGAAAGAATTTTAAATGGTTGCTACTTCCATGAGCAGATATTTTTTGTCTCGTATGTTATGTCTGAATCGATGCAAGTCTAAAAATTAGACATTATTTAAATATTTACACTATGCAGAAAGTAAAGTCAAATTACAAGGAATTTTGTCTCTAAAAATTAATTTGAGTCGCACAAGTTTTATTTCATGAAAGTATTATTTGTTTATTAAACTATATAACATCATAAATATAGCATAGTGATTCATTATACTCCATGGAGAGCAGGGGGCGGATCCAGAGGGGGGTTTGTGGGGTCCACCTCCTCACCCCTAGCTCAGCTACATAAACAAATTTGTATTGCAAAACAACACTTCTTATGAGAAAAGTGACACGGTCGAGTGCTTTGTTCTTTATCATCAGATGGTGGGATGGGATGGGCATTCAAAGCGTGAGATGATGATATAGACATAGTATGTGAAATCACAATTAATGCTTTACATCTGCGTTCGATTTCTAGTTTCGACCACTAGTCGTGAAAAAATTATAACCAAAGGTTGCCCTAATGACTAGATGCTATTACTAGCCAGGTCTTCCATGGGGAAAACCGTGCTGAAAACACTGGAATAACTTTCTCAGTCAACACCAGGATCAAACGTGGGATAGAGTTATTGAGCCAGCGTGCGTTACTTACTCACCCACTCCTCCTAGCAACAAGAGAAACAATATTTACAAATATTTACCAAGTGCATTGATATTGAAAATAGAAACAATATTTACAAATATCTACAAAGTGCATAGATATTGAAAGTAGAAACAAAAAGGAAGTGTAATAATAGAGGGTTGGCTGAAATGTTCTAAGCCTATCTGTGAAAGACCATTACAAAGTCAATGGTTTCCATTTATTTTTCTACATAGTTCACTTCGAGGTGTACATAGTTTTGCCAACGATGTTGCAAGGCCTTGCAATTTTCTTCAGTCACCCTAAAAAGTAATTCCTAGCTGGCTAACATGACATCCTCTTTCTGGTGCAGATTATCACGAGACGTCATACTAACCTGTGATTATACCAACAGAGACACTGTGGTATTAGTTACATACTTACTTAGAAATATCAAAATCTAGTATTTCTGCTTCATGTCCTGTCCACTGAGATACCATAGCACTACTTCTAGCATCCCATAACCTTATAATACCATCTAAACTAGCTGTATAGATTAAAGGTGATATACTATCCCACTTTAACTTAACTATACCAGCCTAAAATATACAATATTTATATTATATCTTTCAATAGACCTTTTATACTCTCTTGAAAAATGTTCACATTTAGTCATATCTATATCATATTTCTACACATTCATCAAATATTAATGAACAATGTCTTTATTTCCTTCTTTTCTTATCAAGCTACACTTCAGTATGATCTTTAAATGAATCAATGATGTTAAGAGGCAATTAGTGTTTTGTAGATCTTTATGACTTGACTATACAGTTACATCTGGGGTGATCAAATTTTATTGTGCAAACTGAAGGAGTTCTGCCATTCTATTGATGATATACATGTATATAGATGTTTATGGATTATGTCAGCAGATGCCTTAGCAAACAGCTTTACTCTAATAGTAAGTGCAGGGGGACTGCACCACACATAATTTACACAAAAACAAATCTATGGACAAGACACAATACGCAGAAATCACAAACAAACGAACATATCAAATTAAGTGAATGTATCCGGGGGTTAGCCGTAAGCGTCCTCTGCGCTGTACAGTCCCGAGCCTGTAGTAATACAGACTTCACTCAAATTTGAAAACAATAAGAATATAACCCAGAGAAACCATTGTAGGCCGGAGCTTGAATTTAGGTTATTTTGAATATATCATAGTTGTCTCCCTTGTATTCTTGTGCTATAATCCTGACATGCTGATTTCAAAGTGGGTATATATTTAGACCAAATGTTCATTTATTCTACTATAATTCTTTTACATTCAATATTAAAATGACAAGGTAACCTTAGATCTAGTAATCCCCAAAATTGACTACTCAGAAGGATTTATATAGTCACTGGGGATTCTTAAGAACATTTTGACACAGGTTCCATTGATTTACTCGAGATGTGTTACAAAACCAATTTTGGCAGTAATGTGAACTGCGCCCCTGGTGGTGTCTTCAAAAGTTCTACTTAAGAGTCACATTTTTTTTTTTGTGGGGGGGGGGGGGGGGATAGGGGATGATGTTATAGTTAGTAATGGGAAAATGATTTTTTAGTAAGCGAGCCAGCCTCTTACTCAGCCAATTATATTGAAGCCATTGTGTATATTGCATATATGGGTCTCACTATAACATGGGTATGATCAAACTTATATTGAAGCCCTTGTGTATTTATTATTTACCTCATGTTTACAATGATGACGTAACGATTGACTAGGTATATCCCAGATTCCTAATGATCCATTCATACAACCGGTAGCAGCATACGGGAATCTATATATACAAAAAATATACAATAACTATCACTATTGTGGAAGCAGAAGTTAAGTAGGCTACTATATATAACTACATTTTATTTTGCTTTGGTTGTATACAATTAAGGCTTCTTGATGAATGTGCTGTAGTCTTTTACACACTAGTACTGCAAGTGCTTTTTCAATGACACTTAACACCTTGACAACCAGGATAATGAATATGGGCATATGCCATGCTGTGCGCTTACAGGGGAAATTTTACACATACTATGGGGTTTCTGCTTACACTTCATCAAATTCAACTACAAAGGTTTCTTTTATGTGCACTCGACACAAACAAGGTAATTTTGGGACTAACTTGGTTTAATTTTTTTTCAATAATTCGCTTGCGCGTAGGGGTCTTTAGCAGTAGGAGGAAACTGGAGGACCTGGAGAAAACCGATGAGGTTGGACAGGCGACCCTACTCTTTGTCACATACAACTGGGGATTCGAAACCAGGCCAGTTGACTCAATGACAGGCCTTATAATACAGTGCGCACATGCTAACCATTCAGCCATCCAACACCCAGACCCCCTCCCTGGATAAATTGATTTATCGTTGGTTTTTTGTCCCGTCCATAGGATGAAACACCTTTCTCTTCCAGTACCTCCATCCTGCATCACTGACAAGAGGAAACCAAGCTGTAAAATCCTGAAGGAAATTTCTTGGCCAAAACTTTGATCAAACTCGGGATTGTGCCTAACTCACTTAGCCACCATGAATCTGACAACAAATGCAAAACCCAGAGATAATATGTTGTATGACATTCCTGTATAGTTCTACCCCTGACAAATGGGAATTAGGATTAAAACATCCTGAATTTCTTCCCGATCCATGTCCAGATTCGAATAAGGGACATTCAAGTCAGATAAAATGAATGAACCTTCTTACATGTTTGACAGTCCAACTGTTTCAACTGAGTTTTCTTCACCATCATCTGTTTCATCTGTACAATTTAATGTGGTTATTATCTGAAAATATAAGGAGTAATACTACTTCTTGAACCCATATCATATCTACCATATTGTGGGGAACATGCCATGCAGGGGCGGATCTAGGAATTTTGAAAAGGGGGGGGCAATGACCGCGGAGACAGGGAACTTTTAGGGGGGGGGGGTCCCCCAAGAAAATTATCCGTCATTTCCTTGCATCTATAGCCATTCCAAGAGCTATTTGGCTGATATTTTCGTCTAAGTAAACATTCGGAAATCGTTGAAAAAGAGCTTTAAAATCGAGCAAAAAAGCCAGTTGAACGTGTGACTCGAAAATTGTCAAGGTGAGCGAGGCATTATGATGGGATAAAAGACGAATCTATTCTCTAGCCAATTCACTTTTTAAGCCTTGTAACTTGTACTGTGTACTGTCCACACTTGAAACAATGCTACATCAAGTTGCACTCATGCGCGCCGGTGATGGGCATATACGCCGCCGATTCCACAAGATGCTATCATTGATGTCTGTCTATAGTCACTCTATAGGATTTGGGCACCGTCAGCTAAACAGCAAGAATTCATTTGAAAGTGGAAGCATTAATTAGACCAGACTGGTGTGTTTGAGTCGATGGTTTGAGTCATTTGGGATCCCTGCAACGGGTTGGGAACGGACATATTGGGTCTGAGAAAAGGCACTTTCAGCAGTAAAAAAGGGCACTGTCGAAAATTAGGGGGGGGGGTTCGAACCCCCCCCCCCCCCTGGATCCGCCTCTGCCATGGAGTCTAATATTTAAATTAGCAAAGAGCCAGGCTTACGAGCTTACCGACAATGTCTTACAGCTGCAGCAAATCATGATCATTTAACATTTAATTATGAAAACAATTTCAAAGTACCAATACTAGTTAATTGGCCGGCTTGGATTCAATCAAATTTGAAATTGGGTTATCAATTATGTTTGCCAATAACGGAATTGAACCATTTTTGAACAGATATTTCTATTAGAGATCTATTGTTTACAATACTGTAGTTTACAAGGGATTACTATTGTGCACAAATAATGCAATAGACCTTTAACTTTCCCTACCTTTCCTGTTTGTGTGTTGATAAGTTTAGCTGTTTGATCTGTTGAACCTGTCAGTAATAATGTATTATCTTCATGACAATCTACACATAACACAGATGATGTGTGAGCTTCATGACCTACAATAAAACAAAAATTAGATTGACACTTTCTTTTTCGCATTTCATTTATGTTTGAAATCAGGCAAGTGCTTCTGAAGAAGTGGATGCACGATTGTCGGCACAGGACGCTCCGAATTGACGGAATTGCAATCGTAATGTTATAAAGGTTTTAATGATGGTGACTGTATGTGATAGTATCGTATTTGTCCTTGTCCTCATAAATTCTCATTCTTAGTTGACTGACACTTTCTAGGGGAATGAGAGAATCCAATTCCAAAACATTTAATCGAGTATCCTTGTAGTCCCTAATGTAAATTGTTTATGAAAGGGCGGGTAGAATTGACAACAGAACAGCCAAACGGACAGGTTAATGGACAATAAACCAACTAGCCGACATTTTGCTCGACAAATCCTGAACAATATTTCCACTTCTCTATGTTGTTCTATGTACCTGATATTGTATGTAAAGATTCGCCAGATTTTAAATCCCAAATTTTAACAGTTCCATCTTCACAACCAGTACATAAACGTTTACCTATAAAATAATAATAAACTATTTTAATAACTTGAATCTGTTATAGAAAACTGTCAGTCAATAGTAATTTGGACAAACATTCACATTTATTAACCCTCTGAACCCTAAACAACTCATTTTACGTCTGTGATGTTGTAATGCCCATAATACGAACAGCTGATTTTCTATGGTCGGTGTCAAGAGAACAAATTGGGACCACAACGAACAATAATGGAGATAGAGCAGCGGTTCTCAACCTTTTTTGCCAATGGCACACCTTGGAACACATGAAAAAAATAGCGGCAAATTGAAAACATGGCAAGTCATAGACGGCATGCAACCGTAGACACAGACTAGTCATAGACACATAGAATAACTCAAACTTAATAAAGACTAACACAGCTATGAACTTACTTTATTGCAGTGTTTCGAATTTTATCAGTCAAATAGCTGCCTTCTTTAGTGAGACATTTTCTTAGTGTGCCGTTCAAAATTTTGCGGCACACTTGTTGAGAATCACAGAGATAGAGCAAGAAAGCAACGTTGTAGTGACCACTATACAAGCTGTTGGTTAGACATCGGACATCTAGGCAACAACTGCCATAGTCCCGAGTGTACAGGCCACTAAAAGATCAGGCACTTGGTAGTCAAAGATTGAAAACTCCCAGATTTTACATGTGACAAATGTACATTTAACATGTTAATTGGTGATTTATCATCTCGAATGAGGTAAACAAAATGGAATAATTTGTTCAGATAATCATTACATACATACCGTCAGATGTAATTTGACCAGATAAAACAGATGAATTATGATGAAACATTTTACAATCAGCATCTGGCATCTTCCACATCCAGACATCACCATCACTAGTACCAACTAATAATACATGAGCCATTGTATGCCATTTTAACCACTAAAAAATATATACACATTATGACATATATGTGATACCTTGACAGCATTAGATGACCAGTTCTTCCACTGCTACACATCCTCACATTATCAACATATTATATGATGCCTTGACTACATTAGATGATAAACTCATACACTGATGCACATCTCCAAAGTGGCAACAAATTATGACTGTCATCTGATATCCAAACTGCATTAGACGACAAAATCATACAATGGATCAAAACTAAGTTTTGAAACAGTTAAAGTATCATTAGCACTTTGTCGACTTGTCATGACTTGACTATACAGTTACATTGAACATATTTAAATTTGATTTATGATTGTTTTACTCATTAAGAGTTCAGCAGACATTACAAAAGACAATGTTCTAAGAGGAGAGTTCTTGCATTTTTAATAACTAGACAAGAGCAGTGGTTATTTTGAATTATGATACTATATCTATTTATTGCCGAGTCAGATAATGTTAAATTTGACTTGTTATAGTGAAAGAATGGTTATGCTTACTAGAAATAAAAGGTACTTACTTCAACTTCTCCCCCTTCAAAGGACCAAATTTCTTCCTTAGTCTCTGTTTTCCAGACTTTGATAAGACCAGACATATCAGCAGTAGCTATGTACATTGAGTCATGACTGAACCCCACACTTGTTACTGAATCCTTGTGTCCTGATTTATAAGAGAGAATAACTTATATCACTATGTATTCTCAATTTTGTTGTGTTCATTAGCCCAGTCAGTACAGTAGGACGTTAAACCCCATTTTATTTCAATTTGGTTGTGACATTCTTGAACTCTGTCCATTTTTATCTTGCAGCTTGTCACTGGGTTAATATGTGGTAAAACATAATGTTCTGTGGCGGTTCATGTAACAGAATGTTTTGTTTTCATATTGACTTGACTGTTAATTTTCAAACATACTATATATCTTTAATGCCATTGTAAAGAAATATGCCACTAATTTTTCCATTTTGAATTGTCAGTGACAGTCTGTGTTATTCTATTGGGTAGTTTATGATGTATGGTAATACTGTCATCATATATTAATGTCATGTGATATCGTGGTCATTAACAATATCACATATAAATACACAATGTAAACATTTAGGATTGCTGGGTAAACAGATATTAAACTGATCGAGAGAGAGAGAGAGAAATGGGGTTTAACGTCCACTTGACACAAACTAGGTCATTTCGGGACTAACATATGGTTTAATTTTATTTCAATAATTCGCTTGCGCTAGGGGTCTTTAGCAGTGGGAGGAAACCGGAGGAACCAGAGAAAACCCACGAGATTGGACAGGCGACCATACTCCTTGTCACGTACAACCGGGGATTTTGAAACCACGGCAGTCGACTCAATGACAGACTTTATGATACAGCGCTTGCACGCTAACCATTCAGCCATCCAACCCCCCTTAAACTGATGAATAAAAACATTGAAGATAAGTTCCTTAGAAGAATTTCCCAAAGAATTTGACATTTGTTTGTATGACATATTCTAACAGTAAATTCTTCGGTAATTCTCTGAATGATAATTTTCATTCTAAATCGTGACAATACCGTCAAAATCTACCATATACATGTATTGGTATGTATTTCAAGCAAAAATTTCAAACACACATCATTTAAATGAAATGGTTAGACAGGAAGTAAAATGTTTTATTATATATATCTACCTGTACATTCCATAACAACACTGCCAGTAGATATATTCCACACTAAAGCTTTATCATCTTGACTACCTGTTACAGCTAAACTTCTTGTCTTCGGATCCACTTGAACAGCAAATACACTATCTATAAACAAATAAACAGTAAATACACTCTCTGCCACATCCAACTACACAGGTACAAACCATCTCTTTTAAATCGAAGCGATAATTGCTGGCTTTGTCAGACATTTTGAATTGATGTCTAGTTACGTCATGAAGGTGGGGCTAATGTCACGTAACAGCAGCCAATCAAAATATGCGAAAAGTAGGAAAACATTTATAGGGCCCAAGAATGATCTTATCAATTCTGTTAGAAATACCGGTTGATTACCTTTACTGACAATATTTGCCGATAAACGAAAGTATTTAACTATATTGAGTTGGGTACGTTTAATTAGTCCTAAAAATAGTGTAAAATTAACTTATTTTTAAGATGTTACAAGCATTAATAAAGAAATTAAGTTTGCCGGGTGAAACGAAAGGCATCCAATCGTAGCTAAAAATAAACACATCACAGTGTGTCAACGTTTTCAGCTACGTTCTCGTAGGTACATGTAGATGTCAACAAATAGTATATAAAATGCACCACAATCAACCAAGATTATGTATTTTCTCTATTTTGGTTATTAATCAGTTCTTCTCAAATCTTGGGAGTGACATACATGTATGTCCAAGTGGGCTGCAAATTATAAGACCTAACTATATGCAAATAATGGATTTGATCCAGTACATGGAGGGATAGGTGCCCAAATTCAGAGGCTAAAATAAGGAAGTGGATAAACGACCAGATTCGGTTCCTGACGAAAATTTACTACGAAACCGGATATCGTCTCTAATTGGCCAATTTTATCACGTAGTTATTAGCGGGCTTTTCCAATATGGCGGCCTCTACAGGGATCCTTGTTGGTGCTGAATTTACGACTATAGATTCACTTTTAGAGGCGATGAAACAATTTGAATTTAAGAATAAAGTGACATATTGGCGAAGAGATACGCGGACATAAGAAAATGCAAGAAAGCGAGGGTTAGGGTTAGAACCGAACCTATCGCGATAGAATAACCATGTGATGAAATTGGCCAATCAGAGACGATATCCGGTTTCGTAGTAAATTATCGTAAGGAACCGAATCCGGTCATTTATCCACTGCCCTAAAATAACCCCTCAGCAGTGACATATACCTTTATGGTTTCGGAACACAATCACAGAATCATCTTTTACAGCATCCCCTTCTGCCCCAACTTCCATTTCATCAGCATCTTCATCTATACAACAACATACAACAAATCAATGAATTGAATTAGGCCTATATTTATAATATAATTAATTTATTATAATATTTATTCAGGGGTTTTAAAGATAACAATTCATGCTGCTTTGGCGTGTTTACAAATCTGCCAAATACAAGATTATAGACCTGGAGGCGATATAATACGGAAAACATTCGCATGCCATTGGACTTTATGGCCATGGGTCGACAATGACGAAGCATTCACAATTAACATTAACACTCATTATTTCACGATTTACAAATTACAATACTTGTACCTTCACTTTCATCAGGGGGAACGTCATTTTCTGGAAACTCAATGACGTCAACAACATCTTCGGGGTTCAGTTCTATTTCCCCTTCGCTATCTTCACCATTGTCGCCACTCATTGTGCGGCTGTCGTCGTAGTTTATTCAAAGCCAGACCTTAAAACGTAAACAAAGCAGAAATACCACCGGAACCATGTGGCCAGTCCAGGTAGCGGTTTACTACGTCCTTTGATTCGAGATAACTCCGATACAGAACGAAATGGTGTCAATGATTTTGTACATCTATCTATCTTATTTTCTGATTGGTAAAACTAAAATTTGATTTAAAATGACGTATCAAAAACCAAATTATGTGGTGTCAGGTTGTTGTTAAATAATAAAAATTCAAGTGAAGGGGTAATTCCAATCAGGTACTAATATGATTCCTCTCTACAAAAATGTACTTCCGCCAACCTAATTTATTTTTATTCATTGAAGATTTACCCTTGGTAATGTTTACTGTTACATGTTTGAAATAACTGGTTGATATCAAGTTAGCTGTGTTTAGCATGATGCATTTATGATGTTGGGGAAGACAACCAAAATCTATATCGGATGGTATGTTGTTTTAGAGTAATCGTCGATATTGTTGGCATTTCATTGGGAAAAGAAAATGCTAAACTTTACCCAAGGGTAGCTACTCTTCCTTGATTAAAATGTTGGTTTCAGACCACAAGATGTCATGTCATTGGTAAACGAATATTATGTAAATGGGCAATAAACTAGAGGACTCCTAAATCTGTTAAAACACCTCCTCCTTCATCTTACTATTTTCAATGAAAATGAATAAATAAATAAACTAAAAACTTTATTTTTCATAACTTTCTTTCTATTTACATAATAACTATATAAAAGTTGGAAAATGTATCCCCCTAGCAATGGTTATGGGTATTGTCAACTGTGTTACGATGGAACCATTTATTTTAGAACAGCTGCACATTGATTTATTGCTTCACCTTTCATAGCAAGTTTTACAACAACTGATCAAACTGTTTTTTATTGGAATAAATCTTTGATCTGGTCATACATATTTTCATTTTAACATATTATTATTATTAGGACTACTTGAATCAGCTGATCACTGGATTGTATTTTAAATATGTTATTGCTACCATATACTTGCAAAAATGTAAAGACTAAGAAAAAATTAAGTAGCCTACCTACCCAGTTAAAATGGGTACTGAGTCAGACGTACCACCGGGCATGAAATGAAATGAAATGAAATGAAATGAAATGGAGTTTAACGTCCTACTGTTCTGCTCCTAACCTGGGCTAATGAAGACGGGCATACGCCATACAGTGTGCTATGAGGGAAATTTTGCCCGGACAGCGGCACTACGGCTTACTCTTATATCGAATTCCAACTGCCAAGGGATCTTTTACGTGCACGCCAATGTGTACACGGAACCTCGGTTTTTCGTCCCATCCGAACGACTAGACAGCTTTCCTTGTCAGCCCCTCCGTCCTGCATCACTGACAAGGGAGAACCACGCCGCAAAATTTGGATGAACTTTTTCGGCCAATGCAGGGATAGAACACCCGACCTCCAGGCTAGCGAGCTAGCGCCTTACCCACTTAGCCACGTGATCCCCACCACCGGGCATGAAAGATTCGGAAAGCATCTACATAGCGATTCAAACAAGGAATGCTCTATTCCAATAATGCGACCTGCTTGGTTCAATAGATCTTTTATTTAATTGATTATTTATTGTTATAAAAATTCATTCATTATTGTACCTGGTTTTTGTTTTAGGGGTGCGACTATAGTAGTTGGACTTGGATTGTTTGTTTTGGCAAGAGATAGTGTAAACAAGAACAGGGCAGCAGTGATGAAAGCAAAACAGAGAGTGAAAGATTCTGTCCAAACGGATCCATGATAAATAAAAGATACTGCGGTGAAGAAATGCTGACATTACATTTGTGTAAAAATTTATATTTGTTTTGAAGAAAAACGACCTTAGTGAATGAAAACCAAATTTTGACAATGTATACTGTGTAAACTATTTAATCTTCTCAGATAAAACTGTTGAATCAAGAAAAGTTTTTGTGATATATAAACTAGAATCTTCTATGTTAGGAAATCAAGAAATAACCTACTGATCTTTGATTTTATGAATTTTATTTAACAAACCAAAGATATAGATGTTGAACTTTATTTACTTCAAATTTAGTTCTATAGATTAACATATTTGCAAAAATGTCTAACAGTTGTACAAAACTGTATATTTTGTTGGGTAAAACATACCATACAACTAAATCTAATGCAGTTAGATGTTTCATAAAACTGCTTTCAGATACAACAAGCAATGATTCTTTTGTAACTCATTTCATGTGAAGTGACAAAATTATTGCCACTTCAAAAACCTTTAAATAAATTAAAGTTTACTGATTAAGGTGAATGATGGTAGATGGAGCACTTGGAATAATTGCTAGCTTTATTTATATTTACTCTAAATAATTGTGAACTTTACCCTTTGAATCAGCCCCACCCACCTTTAAGTTTTATTTCTTAGGTGCATGTACATTCATTTCCCTAAACACGGTTTACTGATCTAAGAAGAAATAATAATAATCACTGGGTTGTTACCCTAAATAATCACGAATCTCACCCCTTAAATCAGACCCACCTGATGGTATCAAATTTCATAATTTATAAAAATTCGTAACTTTTTTATTGTAATTTCTAATCAGTTGTATTCGCGGAAAAATCAGAGCTGGTAGTTCGTTTGCCGGGTTAGTCAAACTTACATCGGGAGTAGGGTTTAACATTTTCTTCTGCACTGATGTTTTGATTTATTCATCCAGGCGCCTCATTACAGATGGCACTCTGGAGCATGGAGAAAAAGACGCCACAGACAGGCCATATTTTTACAGTAAGATAACATGATAATTTTGATGGAAATGGACCAATATTAAATTCTAAAAGGTGTTTTTAATGTCGAAGATAATGAATAAAATTGTGTTACTACTTCCATGCATGTGAAATAATACAATACGTTGTCATCAATGGAAATTTTAAAACTGTTCATACTATATACGACTTCGCTGCTAGTGGACCAACAAGTGGGTCTGTCAGGCACCGTACTTCCAGACCTATAATAGTGAAGATATTTATAGTTTGCTTCATCGCCAAACCTTGTTCCCCGTGAAATGGCCAAGGATCGCCGGTGGGTGACCCGACAGTTTGAATTGGCCTACATGAAATATTATTTAGTCTGGTTCAACAAAGCACTACAACAATCTGTCTATAAACTATAAACATACTTATGGAAAACAGGCTACTGATTTATTTAGGCAATGTTTCGAAGAGTTTTATCTCAAGGTATTAGAGTATTAGCTTGAAAACGTGGAGAGAATACTCTTCGAAACATCGCCTAAATAAAGCAATAGCTGTTTTCCATAAGTATGTTTATAGTTTATTTATCTGCCCAGTTACTAAATGCCACTTAAAGAATAAAACATTCGGTCTGTTGTTGCCTGTCCAACTTCATGGGTTTTCTCCCACTACTATGTTTTAGTCCCGAAATGACCTAGTTTGTGTCGAGTAGACACGTTAAACCCCTCTCCCATTAGGTATTTATCACCTAAAATCAAAAATGCAGTGGAAATGAAAAATAAACCTAGCGTCTTGTCATTATTCTGTCGACGATGTTACTGTGGTCTTTAGAAAAAATCTGTTTAAAATCATCCAGAGAATATAAGTGCTGCAAAATCGCAATGGTTCATTGCCTACGAAAAAAGAAGGCAGTCTGTTATTGAATATCAAACCCACAGCTATCAGTGGAACGAAACACTGATTGTTTTTAGTCAAACCAGCATGAAAATCAAGTTTCAATTGGTTATTAATATTTCATCAAAACATGATAGTCTGGGAGTGCACAGACGATCACAATTATTGTCTTTGGAAGAATAGACTTTAGGCCTTGAATGACAATTCCCCCGATTGCTAGCTCAAGAATACATAGTGACAGGGATATGTCTTTTTCTGGAAGCATTGGTTAAGAATATTAATTAACTATTGCTACACATACTTATTATCTGATATACTATTGCAATACATACTGTGATAAAGTTGTTTTTCTGAAACCAGAACTATTTATGTTCGCTGCACATTCCATGGGAGGAGTAGATTCAATATAGCGCGATTCTATATTATTGGTCGTATTGCCAAATGACTCCACAGAAAAAGGCATTAAAACATATCTGCAGAAAACGGGTATACGTTATACCTTCGTCAGATTCTTCAACAGCCCAAAGAGGCGTTTTTTGGCAAAAATTCCTCGAATCAAAGGGGGGAATCTTCAATCTAATGACATGGAATTGCCGTGGTCTTTTTGCAAGCATTCCATACATTCTGTGGTGTCTTGAAAAAATTAGAATCTCAATGTGTTACTTGAACGAACCTTGGTTGACACAGGTATCTGAAATATTACTGTCGAATGCAGGGGCGTACATAACGATTTGTTTGGGGGGGGGGGGGGTGTTTATCCAAAATGCGACCGACTGATTCCCATACCCCTAGTACGAGTGACGCAGTCAGGAGCCGATCATCACAGGTGCGAGTTTTGTAGGGGCCATGTGCATTAGCGGATCTAGATAGGGGTGGGGGCAAATCTAGGGCGCCACCCTAGCCACAATCCCACCCCACAATGAATGTCAACAAAATACTGGCTATAACATTAAGTGTTCCGGTAGAACATAGATGATATTGTATAATTATATAGTTGTTTGCCGATCGTTGTCTCGCCGGAAAGCAGTTTTATTTAAGTTGACATAAAGTTTATGTCATATATGATTGTGCCTATAACACTGAGCAACCTGAGAAAATTTTGAAAAATTGAATCAATATCTTGGCATTTGAGGTCATTGCTGGGAGAAATTCTTGTGGACGAGAGGACCAGAAATGTGGATCAATTAGACAAAATCTCGAGATATGCCCCTGTCAATTCCGCCTGTTTTGCAAGAGTTGACAGAACTTTTGTATAGTCTGACGCGCCACGACCCACACACCAGTGGTACTACTAATATAACTGGGCAGTTCACTATAACCGTGAATATGATAGTGCTGAGACAGTATAAGACAACAGAGGAGTGGAAGAATGATGTTATAATGGAATCGAGCGCCGCAGGCTCGAAAAAATTTCAGATGTGTAACCGAGCTTTTAATTTTTGGGACTGGGCCTGACAATTTTAGTCAATGTCATGGCAAATGGATCCTCGTTAATGAGAGGATAAGAAATGGGACAGAATCTTGAGGCCTATCTGTCAATGTCGCCTGTGTTGTGAGAGTAGAACTAACAATTCTACAGTCTTTTGACCCACGACTCACTCACTAGTGGTACTACTAACTGGGCAATTCACTGTAACTGTGAATATGATAGTGATGAGATAGTATAAGACAGAGAAGGAGTTGAAGAATGATGGCATAATGGAACTGAGCGCAGATATGTAACTGAGCTTTTAATTTTTGAGGACTGGGCCTGAGGGCACTTTACCTCAATTGGGCACTTACTTGGTCTCTGAAATGCCCCGGACTTTGGGGAGAGATTTTGCAGAATTCTGGTGGTCAGAAAACACCCCATTAATTCATTTAGTCTGAGACCGACTGCGATGAGCACTTTTTTTTTGAGACCGAATATTTTTTTGCCATGGGGTGAAAAACATTTTTTTCAAACATGATAAGTTGACAAGGTTATTTTATACTAAAGTTTTGCGTGAGTAGCGTGACGTGTGCAGTGAGCACTTATTTTATACTAAAGTTTTGCGTGAGTAGCGTGACGTGTGCAGTGAGCACTTATTTTGATACCGACTGCTCAAATCTAACGACCGACTGCACTGATTTTGCGACCGACTAGTATTTGGGATCTATTCTGGCATTATTTGTTTACCTCATTTATTCATTAAGACGGCGATGCATAATTTTGAGACCGACTGCAGTGACAGCACTTATTTTGAGACCGACTATTTTTCTCCCTGGGGGAAATTTTATTCTTAGACCTACATACTCACAAAGTTATTTTATACTAAAGTTTTGGGTGAGTAGCGTGACGTGTGCAGTGAGCACTTATTTTGATACCGACTGCTCTTATTTTGCGACCGTACCACTCCCCACACCCCCCACATTTACGCCCCTGGTCGAATGTGTACAAAGACTACTGTTACTTCAGTAAGTGCTTTTCAGCATCAACAGACAAGCGATTTTATAGATCAACATGTAGAGGCGGAAGTGCAATTTTAATACATAATGATCTATCGCAGTTTGTGAATGAAATAGAAGTTAGTCCAGATGACTTCCTTGGAATAGAAATCTTTTTACCAATCATTATTATTCAGTGTATATCTCCCTTCTACCTAAAAAAGTACCACTCTGTATTTTGGAGCCTTGCAGTACCATGAAGAATTATGTGAAACATATAATTGGTTAAGACAAGTTATTTTCCTGGCCGATTTGAACACCGAAATTGAAAGTGTTAATTATAGCATAATACACAGTAGCAGATTATCAGTGAGGCTGATGAGGCTGCAGCCTCAGGCCCAAAGATTTTGTAAAAAAAATTTTTTTAGACTTGTCTTATACGATTAAAAACGCCTAGACAATGAATGTTAGGGGAGTTGGGTTTAGGCCCAAGGGGAATCAAAATAGGCCCTGACCCGAAATTAATTAGGCCCACGCCATTTTAAATAGGCCCTATTTAAAAACTAAATAGGCCCTCCAGCAACTGCCGCCTCAGGCCTTGGTGGAGCTTAATCCGCCACTGATAATACACGATCATCACACAGAATTATTAAAATCACTGTTAGGACGTACGGGCACCTATTCAGTCAATGCTGACGCGAAATGCTCTGTTTCGCCCTACACGTTCCAGTCACACAAAATGGCCAGCAAGCAATAATTGATCACATTATACTCCCTCCCTAGAGACAACGGATTTACTATTAATTACTCCTTTGTACACGATGAACAGCACTTCAGTGTCTCTGACATCTACCCATAATATGTTCCGTAGGCGTTGACAAACCATGTCCGCAAAAGATTTTAA